GATTGGGGTAGCGGGTACCTTCTAATCGCTTCCACCTTGGCTGGATCCATGTGCAACCCATCACAATCTATTACGTGGCCAAGGAATCAACCTTCCGCTCCAGCAACACTCATTTCTTCGTCAACCTAAATCGTGCTTTTAACAGTTGCTTAAAAACGAGTCCCAAAACTCAGAAATGCTTCTCTACCGTTTCTGTGGCTACCATGATGTCATCCAGGTAGCAGAAGACTTCATCTCCCAGTAGCTCGAGAACCGCATGCATCATGCGTTGAAATACCGGAGGTGAAGATGCGAGCCCGAAAGGTAGTACACGGAATTGGTACAGACCTTCCGTTGTGGCAAACGCCGATTTCTCTTTTGCATCTTCAGATAGACTTATTTGCCAATAGCCTGATGACAAATCCAGGGTTGAAAAGTACCTTCGACCCTTTAAACTCTGCAGAATTGTATCAATCGTTGGCAGTGGGTAACTATCTATCCTTGTCACCTGGTTGAGCTTACGATAGTCTACGCAGAGTCGGAGTGTTCCGTCCTTCTTCTGAACCAAAACGATGGGTGAGGCCCAGCTCGATTTACTTGGTTCGATAATTTTCCGCTCATGCAAATCATTAAGAATCCGTCGGAGCTCCACGCGAGTAGCCAGTGGTATCGGGCGAGGCTTTTGTCGGATCGGTGGTGCCTCACCGGTGTCGATGTTGTGCTTCCACCAGCGTTGTCTGGGTAAGCTCTTGCTCGCTCACCGCAAAGACTTGAGCGTAGCTCTTGACGAGATTTTCAACTTCTTCCTTATTCTCCAAGTTTGTCCTGTTGTCGCGGAGCAACTTCAAAAGTCTGTCTTCTCGGTCTGTAGGAGCTTCCACTGTGCGCCCCAACATGTCTCCCGAATACGTGACAGGCTTGACTTCCACGACTTTTGCGGGTTCGAGGATCCCTACCTCCTCCCCTAGTCGGAAGATCTTTGCTCCTGCAAAGGTGTTTGTTACCGGCACCTCAACTGCCTTCTCTCCACCTTCCCATACGACATCAGGAAGTAAGTGGTCCTTAGACCAGAAAATTCCTCCTTGGGTGAGGTCCTTGCATTAAACCGATCTTGACTGTCCTGGAGGCATGTACACCCTGTTCGCAGCAGTAACTGAGAATGAATAGGGTGGTTTACGTGGTTTACTCCTTCCACATCTTGCTTTCTTTCCCCGTTCACATACCGGAGTGTCCTCTATTACCGTGTTTGGGGAAGCGCCACAGGTGCTGAGCAGTTTCGCTGGGTGAGGTCATATCCAGTGGTCGCAGTGCATTGGTCCCAAGCACCAACATGCCGTCTCCTCCAGCCATGACAAAGGCAGCGATCCGCTGCTTCTTACCGTCGCTCATCTGCAGCGTCAGTCTGATCGCTCCTTTGAAGGACATTCTGTTGCCCGAAGCATCGAATACCTGCTTTTGCTGGTCCAACGGAATTTCTTCGACGTCGGCATCCAAGTCAAAGCCGGACTCCAATGCTGCCTGGAGTACTTGCAGTGGTATGATGCTGATTTGCGAGCCAGTGTCCAACAACGCTCTTGCGTGAAGTGCCTAGAAGATGAACTTCCGTGGTCGTTTGTTCTCCGACCAATTCGCACTTGTTGTCGACCTCTACTGCTCCACATATCCATTTCCTCAAGGACGCGGTAAAAATTCTCGCCGGCTCTGCTTGCTGAGCCGATTTAGTAACTTTTTCAGTAACAGTAGCGTTCTTCTTCGGCATCGTGCAGTCCTTTCTCAGATGTCCTTGCTTGTTACAGTTGAAACACTTTCCGACGGGTCTCCGCTGAGCCTCACGGACATCGAGCTTACTGCTTTCACTTCCAGTGTGTTCACAGTGTTTTGGACTTGCCGAGCATCATGACTGCGATCAACTTTACGTAATCTGCCGTCCTGGCTCTTTCGAGCATGACCTTCCATGGCATTACGCATTGCAGCCGCTACTTGCTTACTTCCTTTCACATCTTTGTGCCATGGCTTTCACCATGTCCTCCTTTGAAGCTGTCTCCCATGTTATAAAAATATGGAGGTATTCTGGCCAGTCGGTTAGCTGGCTCACCAGTCGCCTGCCCTTGTACGGGACACTTCTTCCGATGCATCTGGATAGGCTCTCTTGACAGCCTTTCCAGTTCCAGGCAGAATTCTGTTACGCCTCCATGTTTCTTGAGGTGTTTCAGATCCAAATACGCCTTCATCTGCATCGCCGAATTGTCCACAGCAAGCTTTGCTCGCAGAGCTTCTACAAGGCTTTCAAAGTTCCCCTCTCTTACGAGCTTCGGTAGGGATTTCGCTACCGCTTTTGGGTAACCTTGCAGTTTAGAGAGCAACAGTTGGGTGAGCAGGTCATTCCGTAACCCAAGGCTCTGGTATTTCATCGTGAACCTCATGATGAACTCATCAAATCCTTTCCTTGAGGGTCACTATACACCTCCACTTCGGGTAGGGCCATAGCCGCAAATATGGACCCCATAGCATTATCGGAAGTGGAAAGACTCACCTCGGCTTCGGCACGGAATCGACGACGATTGGCTCGAGTCCCTGGTCCTCGGCCTCCACTCGGTCGTCTTTCTTGCTACAAGTACGTATTCTCAGTTTTTTGACAAGGGAATGGTTTGAACTTCCCATGGAACTTTGAATGGAGACCTAGGTACATCGATAGAGCCTCGAATGCTGATTACGAATATGCAGATTAAAAGTGCTACGGGGACCTCCCAGACGAGATCTGGGTGGTCAAAGTTTGAGTTCTGGCTCGTAAGCGCTGCTGATCGATGCTTCGGCAGTGCCACCGTGGCCTCGTGGTAATGGTCTCGCTTTCAAGTCAAACGCATGCGGGTTTGCATCCGGTTGGCGCGAAAATTTTTGCTTCGCTCCGTATAAGAGCTTCAACTCTAATTTTCGAAATTCTTCCGAATTTACGGCCCAGCAGGGCAAGTAGATCAAGTACATCAAGTATACGACGTACTCGATCTAGTATGGATTTGGTCATCTGCCCTCTCTGAACATATTACCCATCCGACAATTCAAAGTTTTGCCCAGAATCGCAATTTGGCCAGACGAGCGTTTTTTCGTCGAAGGATGTGATATTCGTGTTCAGGGGGTCGAAATCTCCCATGAACGAATTTCTCGCTAAAACTTTGAATTGTCGGATGGGTAATATGTTCAGAGAGGGCAGATATGACCAAATCCATACTAGATCGAGTACGTCGTATACTTGATGTACTTGATCTACTTGCCCTGCTGGGCCGTAAATTCGGAAGAATTTCGAAAATTAGAGTTGAAGCTCTTATACGGAGCGAAGCAAAAATTTTCGCGCCAACCGGATGCAAACCCGCATGCGTTTGACTTGAAAGCGAGACTTACCACGAGGCCACGGTGGCACTGCCGAGGCATCGATCAGCAGCGCTTACGAGCCAGAACTCAAACTTTGACCACCCAGATCTCGTCTGGGAGGTCCCCGTAGCACTTTTAATCTGCATATTCGTAATCAGCATTCGAGGCTCTATCGATGTACCTAGGTCTCCATTCAAAGTTCCATGGGAAGTTCAAACCACCATCACCTTGTGAGGCTCCAGGCCCTCTGCCTAGCCGAAGGGTCTGACCTTGCGCCGCCCATGGATCGAAATCCAGATGGTATTCGACGTTGTCGAAATCGTCGACATCCAATTGTTCGTACACTATCGGCGGCGTACTTGTGCTGCATTCTGCTCCAGCAGGCTGACGAGGTGCGAGAAAAGATCATTAATGCTTCACAGTACCAGTTTGCTCTTTTTCAGGCTAACTAGTTTTCTCGGTGTAGGTGCTACGTGAGTTTCCCACGCCATAGCGCTCAGACCACCAAGAGCGTTTCAGACATCACGGCTTTTAGTGCTCGACTTTCGACTTCTAGCTCCTTGAGGTTCTCCAGCTCCCAATGAGAATACACTCCTCATTTATCCTTGAGCTTGCTGCTTCCTCGAGCTGTTTAGTCGACCTCGTCGAAACTCCTTGCACTAATTCAGCCGGAATCTCACGCAGACTTTTCAATGTCTTCGCCATAGCCTCGCCGACAGCTGCTCTGCTGTGGTCAGGTCGCTCAGGAGCATATGCTCCAGTTCAGCTGGACTTAGTCCTGCTTCTTCTGCCATCTCACTATCTGTAGTAGCTGGTGTTCACTCACTGTATCGAGTGCGCATATTCCCGCGCTTCGAACAGAACCGTGAATCCTTCCGCTTGCAGTCAGTGCGCACTCCCTGACCAACAATCCCGACACGGATTACCACGTGACGGGTCCCTGTTTACAGTCAGGGAGGTACACTGCCTATCAGCGGCAGGACTCGCGCCTTAGCCGGTCTTTAGCGGCCTAGCAGGCGGACACCCGAATCGAAATCGATTCGGTTCGGTTCGGTTCAACCTCTGATTGTAAGTCCGGGTGCTGCTCTCTCTAGCAAAATAACCTCACAAAAACTCATAGTATATAATGTAGCGCAATCTGCAGACTTTTTATATTCAGAATCTTTCGCAGATTCTTCTGAGCATGGATGTTAAGGCCTTTTTGTAAAATTCCATTAATTTTGCCGGAAGGTTGAAGAACTATTTTTCTCTGAAGTGGTTTAATAGTGTTTTCGTGCCCTTCGGTCCAACCAATATGACAGGCAATCATTCGGATTTTATCTCAGAAAGGTAACATATCGAATGATTATCACCATCTTCAGTTTTGTATGTAATTGCGGGAATACCACCGGAGTCTTGCCTTGTGGTTTTTTCCATATCTTCAGAAAATCGAACCTTGCAAGGTAGCCTTTCCAGTGTTCCATCGCGTCTTTTGTCTTGTAAATTTTCCCTCTTTTCACATTTCTGATCTGTATTCAATATCCTAGCTTAGGCGGAGAGTTCTTATATTTAACTCAAGAAACTTGGTGGCGTCTTACTTGGGTGGAGAAAGAACGTTGTGATTTCGCTCAGTGTAAGAAAAAGTGACATATTATTTTCAAGCTTATTATTTCGCAATGTTGCAGCAGCACAGTTTGAGAGCAATAACCAGAATTAATGAGATGGGTCCATCAGTTGAGATTTCGCGGACGGAACGATCTCCATCTTCAAGGTTCGCTTTTTTCCCTGATATTGCTAATCCACAATCTTTCTCTTGTACTTTAGGAAGCAACGAAGTGATTCAGGCACGAAGCAGCCGTTAGGATCGAATAGTGACAATATACGTTGCGCAACGTCTACTGCATCTCCAACCACTGCAGCTCCTTCACGCCGGTCTCCTAATTCATCGAGCGCAAACAGGAGTGATTCTAATGATAAGGAGTATAGCGCTATCTATAGTAAGCCTTCTCTCTCTCTCCCTACACTTTTTTCCACCTCATTATTCGTGTTAGCAGGAAAGTTTTCGTGCGTCAACCTGGTATTACTTAAGTAACACCCAGACAAATCCCAGCATGCGTTTCAGGGAGGCATGACTAACCACTCGCCTAGTTCCACATCATTAAGATTGTATTAGCATATGTGCTCTGAGGCAGCCGTCACTAAAACAGCAAATGACAGCGTCGCCCAGAAGTAGCTGCTGAAATCACCCCAGCAGGCTGCCTATACTAAAAAAAACTTGTATAGCAATCCTTCATGGCAAAAACGCTTGCACCGGAATTATATATGATAAATCTGGCGATACAATACCATGTTTGTCTCTATCGTACTGAACCAGGTTGAAGGCGCACACGTTTACGAAACTTTAGAGAACAGCGTACATTCTTCGAAGTATTTGCTAGTTTTCAATAGAAAATTGACCCATGGAACAACGTACGAAAAAGTTTACATTTGGAAGTAATTAGTTGAACGGCATGAGCAAGTAAAAAGCAGTGGAGGTTCATTATGTCAACCAACACATACAAGGTAGCCCTCAGTTCCTCAAACTCGTTCATTCGACGGTGGATAGTTTCCAACTTCTTTCTTCATTAAACCTTGACATTGTTGAATATGAGGTTTAATCGTGCCAGTGAGACTGCTGCATGGTACTTTTTGTTCACGATCTCACGTTCCAACAAGGTCGTCTCACTCGCCCAGTGCACTGGATGATGGTGGAGCTGCCGCTGAGTTAGTTGTTTATAGAAATTGACGAAAACTAAGAAGACTTTTTCACTAACAACTAGCTGAGCGACGGACATCGAAAACACTGAATTTTTTGTTTTTTTTTTCATTTTTGACTGTGATGAAAGTTGTAGATTGTTTCTCATTTTACTCTATGCTTTCTACTGCTTCCCCTCGGGCTGCGTTCGTATTTTGCAGCAGCGTTCACCAACGTCCGCCTCCGGCAGCGTGAGCGACTAGTAAAGCATAGATAACGATCTGGAGTCTGCCAGGGTCTTCCAGCATCTACCAGCGTCCGGAGGGCTAGGGAGGTATTGCTATCGAACTAGCGTCTGCCAGCAGACGGGCAGACGTTAACGCACGCTGGTAGAGCTAGATCAATATCTACACTTGCCTGGTCACTGACGCCGCCGGTGGCGTGGAACGCTGGTGGACGCTGCCGCAAAGTATGAACAAACCCTTGCTTTTCTACCATTGGTGTTTACTGTGTTATTTTAGAAGACTTGTTTCTCTGCGTGAAATCATTTGCTCTTGTTGAGGAGGCTATCGGTTCTTATCGTTGGAGTGTAGCTAAAAAGATATTAGGTATTAGTTTTACGACTATATGCGGTGACTTTGTTTGAATTAGAATATCGTTCAGATCTTGTTCCTCCCTGGATGACGGATTTGCCAGTAGCTCTGCACATGCGAGCACGAATGGCATTTGAATTGACTGAATATCACTCTGCTAAGGAGATACTTCAGAAGTTACGGAAAATGTACCCTCATCGAACTGAAGTAGATTTCGCCTCTTTCCTCTCTGCTTATTGTTTTTTTTCCATTGTACTATTGAAGGGAATGGAGTTGCTGTCAACAGCGCTTTGGCATCTTCAAGATGCTCATGAATTATCATCGCTTGCACAGCATTTGACAATCGAAGCTCGGTTCAGGCCACAGACTTGGTGTGTCGCCGGGAATTGCTTCTCCTTACAAAGACAGGTGATATCCGCTGATAATTTCTCAGCACTACATTCTCTTCCGAACAGTACCGTTCAGCATGCAAAAGCGGTCGATTGTATGGAACGTGCGATACAGTTGGATCCATATTTTGCTTATGCGTACACCTTGTTAGGACATGAGCTGATATTCCAGGAGGAGTACGATCGAGCTGCAAACGCCTTCAGGTATTCAAGAAAATTCCTGTGAATCTGTTTCATGAATAGGTTTTCAAACAATTCAGTTTAGGCGAGCGTTGGAAATTTCTCCCAAGGACTATCGAGCTTGGCATGGTCTTGGTCTAGTCCACCTTCGTAAAGAACAAATGGGTCTTGCACAGGTATTTCCGAGAATTTTACTCAAGGATACATAATAATTGCACACCTTATTTCCAATTCTTCTGTAAATTGTTCTGAGCTTAGTACGTATCCGAAAAAGGTGCTGATTGAGCAGGCAACTGAAAAGGGATATACTTTTACGATTCTACGTAGTTCAAAAAACATTCAGTCTGTTGTTGTTAGGCATAAGTGCGCATTACCTAGCAATCATTTGCTGAGAACTGATTGTTGTCATTGCGAAATCGATTTGAAATGCATCGCACAAGGCATCGGTAGTTTCCAGCGCGTTAGAATTGCAGCGGATCAGCGAGCTTCTGCGGAGCACCTCATGTCTCCTCATCTAGTATCGCATCCGAGTTTTAATTTGCTTACTGAAATGATGTTTTTTTTTGTTCACTTTTTGTTCACTGTTGCAATGCTGTCGTTACTTTAGGTCAATATCTCCAAAGCCGTAACAATCAATCCAACGAACCGAGCAATGCTTTGTCAATTGGCCCAAATAGAGCAGGCCTTGAATCGTCCTGAAAGAGCGATGCGGCTGATAGATCGGGTGGGTTTTTTTGTCACAGCGTGTCTCGAAGAACTGGATGAATCTGATTCATACAATAAAATTTAAGGCGCTTGTTCTGGATCCTGATGACGTTGCCTGTCGTTACAATAGGGCTAGATTACTTTTCGATACGAAGCATAATGAGGAGTGCGTCAAGGAGCTTAATGAGCTCAAAGAGGTCTCACCAGACGAGGCTTATATCTACCATCTGTTAGGTAATTTTCTTTACTTTGTTTTTCTGCCGTTTTAATTTTTCCCTTCGGTCATTGTACATGTTTAGGAAAGGTTCATAGACGATTAGGAAATAATCACTTGGCTCTGTTGAACTATAGTTGGGCCACAGAAATGGATCCGAGAGGAGAACAGATGTTGGGTCATGCGGGAGAAAGGTCCTATGATGACGACGATCCGTCTCCCACAGCGAGCTAGGTAAATAAGCGCTGGAATTGTCTATTTCATCAGATTTTTCTTCGAAAAGTTTCCATTGCAATTGTTTACTTTTTAACGACCAATTTCGAAGCAGGAATTTCTCGGAACATCTGAACGTGAAGTTTCCAGAAATCTCGATGTTTAATGCGTTGGGTGATGCGGCACTACTTTTCCAATTGCATTTTATTCAAATGACTTATTCCTGTTTTCTTGTTGAGCGAATTTTTCGAAAATTCATGTGACAACGTTTCGGACCTTACGGCTTCCTCAGGTCTACAAGCAATCAATCCAACATCACAAAACATCATTACTATCTCACTTACAGAAATTATGGAAAATGAATTCGCTTGTACACGGTGTTCTTCAAAAGGCCAATCTTTCGTTCCTCCTGGCAGTAAAGACAGTTTTCGCGGCCACATCGGTCTTCGTATACTCGTGACGACGTAAGAAGACGACGTAGTGTTGGCGGCGGTCGAAATATCAAGCGGATTGGCATCCCCGAATTCCTTTACAACTCGATTGACATCCTTCGCGAAGGAGTCTGAGAGAAAGGAATTATTAGTGGGACGCCTCCTGGTACCTGATATGGGCGCCAACAATTTACGCGTCTGCTTCCATAGCCGTTTTCGAGAAGTGTACGCGTCACGGTGTCCACACTGACGTACTCTCTGCATCGTAGATGTGGGGTGTACGTACGTTATGTTCGGAATTTTACATCACAGAAAGTGGACGACCTCTTCTACAAAAGGCTCAACGAACATTTGAGGGCTTTCCGGAACCCAGCAGCTATCCGGATAACCCTTTCTCGAGACATCGTTCCTCGCGCCACACGAATGAGCGTGCACCTGAACTCAAGGTGCGCGTGATCCACAGGAACATAAGTGACCCGGTGGAGAGGAAAATGAAGGAAGCGCTGGAGATTCGAAGGAGCAACCTCCGTTCAACTACAGGGAGATCATACCACTGCTTCACCAATTTAGTTGTGCCATTTCTATAGAAAGGAACAGCTAGGGATGTGAGTCACGTTGCGTACTCCTTTTTACAGCATACTTCCGGACCCTCCTTCCCGTAGGAAGCCGGTCAGTTATTTGTTGATTGTTTCCCTATTTTGGATTTCTTGCATATGTCTGTAAAGTTAGATGATGCTGATGTAGGCTTTGAATGGATGTTGTAGACCTGACGAAGGGCTTGAAGCCCGAAACGTCGTCTCAGAGGTAAGCGACGTGAAGGAGTTTCATTCTATCAATCACAGAGAAGGCACAAGACAATGAGGCTCAGAAATCCTCTCGAATAGTTTCGGTCGAACCTTGATCGGAAACATTATTTTTGCTAGAGATAAAGGGTTGCTCAGCTATTTCGTGATCATTCAGCATTTGTTGTCTTCTAAAATGAAGTACCCGGTACGCGAAGAGAGTAGTTTTGACGACGAAAACTTGCATTGTCCTTTGAAATTGACCTGTGGGCCTAATGTACTATTACTGCCTGAGCCCTCATGCTAGCGTATATTGCCGACTGATTGCGACAAAGACTGTAGAACTCACCAGTAGAATGACTATATGAAAGTCTCGCAGTCGTGTAGTTTTGATATATCCACTAATATACTCTTTATGACAAGTAGAAGATTATTCGATTTTTTTCTTTAATAAACACTCCTTGTTTCAGCTGCGGAACTTTTCCTGTTCTGAAACGGGACTGCACTAGAGAATTTATTAGCAGCTTATGGAATGTTTGCCTTATAGACAGATTATCGTGTATGGATGTGAAATCGAGTTGATCTTGCTACCAAAGATTAGTTTCATTAATATGGGTACGCATTGATCTGTAAGTGGGCGCTCCTAGATTGTGTGGGTTGAGACGTCTTGTTCGTACTGACTGATGTATCTTCTAGCATATTTTGAATCTCGAGTTTACGCTAGTGTTTTTGTTGTGACCCGGTGTTTGAGGTGTCAAACGTTGTCATCTTGTGTATATTGCTTTCGGCTCTTTAGCTTGTGCATAAGTATTTCCTGTTCTTGTGTTGTTTAGAAATTCACTACAAACGGACATTCTTTCGTTTTCTACTCGCATTGCTCATTTCTCTTTCACGCTTCCATTATAACTGTAATGCTTATCGTCCTCCATTTCCTACTAAGGAATCCTTTGGAAGCTTTCAGGTTTCTAGACACTATAGACGGGTTCTATTCGGTACAATGCTTTTAACAGCGACTATAAAGTAGCGTAAGGCAAGCCTCCTCCCCTTTGTGTGCTAGTGTATTTTAATCAGGTGTTCTCATCTCCCGAGGTCAATTTCTGTTTAGGCATTTATTGTTTCCAGAGATGTGTGTGAACGTGTAACCCGAACAGATTTCTATTGACGAATACTACTAAATGTGATTGGGTTCGGTAAATGTTTCGTACTGTGCTCATGTTTTGAAAGAGAAGTTGAGACGAAGAATGGGGTGTGACAGCCAGGGCCAGGATCACCTCCAGCTCGTCTGAATGCTGTTGTTATAGCTGTGCTTGTGTTATGCATGTCTTTCTCAGTTCACGCGTAAATATTCACTATTGGTGATCAAATAACGATAATAAGATGTGAGGCTTCCTTTGTCAATTTCGAATTAAGCGTGGTCATGGCCGTGAGTATAAACCATGATAAAAGTCCACACAGAGTGATTGGAAGCTATGGCTCATGGTTTTTTGTTGAGTCTAAAATCACCTTCGGATGGGTTAAACGTTCCAGAAATCCATGCGTTTTTTCATTATATGTAAATGGTACCATTTGTTTTGATCATAAGTTCCTCCCTGTAGTGTGGGGGGTATTCAGAGGAACGTCAGAAAGCGAGCTTTCGGCTCTGTGGTTTTTCCTCACTAACACAGGAAAGAAGGGAATACGTGGAGAGAAGGAATCCACTAGTTTTCACTTCCTCCACTTAGTGCAATGCAATGCAGTGGGACCTGCTTGCTTTACCGATAAAAGTCGCCTTTTCGATGAACCATACCTGCCATCCTCTCAATTCCTTTCCACTATTGCACATTATGAATAGAGGGTTTAGTTGCGAGCTTACCTTAGTCGCTGAGTGATTCTCCCAGGAAGAAAAAAAAGGAAAACCTTGGTCAACAGGTCAGCGTGGCCATTTGCAATGAGATGCACATCAATGTACCTGTCTTGAGACGGTGAATCGTACATTTCAAAATTTGCGGAACGATTCTCTGAGCGGAGTTATGGAGGTTTTTCTTTACTGTTTTTCTTCTTACGGGCGCGCTGGCGCCGAAGCGTTGGCACATGTAGCGCGACTCACAGCGCTCTTCGCGCAAAACAGGTATCATATTCGTGTTCAGGGGGTCAAATAACCCCTAGGGACGTCACCTTAGCGAAATCTGAGCTTCTGACTCAACTTCGAAAAAATGGGGTATGGATAGTCATGGCTGACTGATAGCCAACAGCGATACTATGACTAGCATACTGGTGATGACTGGTCTTCGAACTGAAATAACTCTTCAGTCATGTCTTTTCGCAAACAACAGTACCTGGCTTACTTATTTGTGCCGTCTGCATCATTTTCTTGACTATCGGGAGGAAATCCCATCCCGAGACCAGTCATCGATGGTAGGTGAGCTCCAATCTGCTTACCCATGGAATAGCCCACATTTTCCAAGTGAGGTCGAAAAATCAGATTCGGCTAGAAACTTGTCCCCAGGGGTAATTTAACCCGCTGAACATGAATATGATGGTATTTCATTGCAAAAACCCTTGTGACACGTGTTACGAGGGGTACAAGCAGAAGCACTCTTTCAGGCCACAATGGGTCTACACTTTCGAAAAAAACTGATCGCAGGTTCCCTTATAGGGTAGTGCAGGCGAGCAGAGATGTTAGAAGATCCATGCTCTTGAACAAATGCAAAAAAAGCGACCTGCCCCGGAACCGATCCTACGACGTCTCGCCTAAGAAACCCGCTCCCTACCCGTTGCGCTCTGCTACCACGTTTCAGAATGACTCCATACATAAATGTAAAGACGCTTCCACGTTTCCTCGCGATAGCATGTGAAACGACCACGCGGGGATAAGACCCTCCATAACTCCGTTCAGAGAATCGTTCCGCAAATTCTGAAGGTAGATTTGAGTTCACTGTCCCAAGACGCGTACAACGGTGTGCAGCTCATTGGAAATGGCCGGTTTGACCTGTTGACCTGTCCTGGTAAGTAGGGACTCCCTGGCAGACCTGCTGGAGTTCTCCGGACCTCTCATACCAGCTAAGCAATATCTTGCAACCTCTGGCTCACTATCAGCTTCACCGCGTCATCCGGTGTTTTACCATCTAATAGTAAAAAAAAACGAAAGGCATTGTGTACAAAGTGAACTCGTGACAGAAAGTCCTTCGACTCCGTCCGATGCCAAGGTGTTAGGGAAACGCGCTATCCAAGGAACTAGTGCATTGATGCAATTACATCATAAGTGAATTGGACGCGTCTTCTTACGAGATTTATTCCTTTTGACTACGAACCGGGTAGATTGGACGGTAGAGGAGTTGGAGACAAAGTTCACAATCACCTCTGTGGAAACGGATTCTTGCCCTGCGCGAGGTCACTGGGTTTACAGCTGCAGTAGGGTGTCTGTATTTTTGTCTGCTCATAAGTGCATGGGGACTGGGCTGGAGGATAGATCAGAAGACGTCGTACGAATCCCCAACAGTGTCGTATTGTGTGGCTGCAGAGAGGAAAGTCGTATTTGCTCTTCCCGTCCTTCCAACTTGCTGGCGATGCAATCAAAGTCCTATACAACTATTTTCGATAACTGAAATTGTTAGTTGTTTGAGAGCCCTTCCCCCTCCGCTCGATGAGTGGAGAAATGTAATAGGTAGATGAAAAACAACAAAAAATCGAAATTTGGAGGGGGAAGCATTTGCGGGAATTCTCTCCAGCGATAAGCTTGACAGTGATAAGGGTTGTCATCTTCCCACTCAAGTGCTGGCGCGAAATCGTCTTCAAGCTGTTATTGTTTGATAACTGCTGTTTAACGCCG